CGCTGGGTTAAACAGCTGTAAATTGTTCTCCCTCTCGCTTGAACACCTCGCGAATCGCTCTCAAATTAGAACACATCATCCGGCTAGAGTTTTCCATTTAGGAGAGCACCTGCAGTTACCTTGTACCTACCGCGGTTTAGTTTCACTCCAACGAATCGCTGTTAAACTCGATCCTTAAGCGTTCGACAAATTGGTCCTCCAGCCGGAGAAATTCTTCTTTCTAAACAAACCCATAAACCATTTTCATCTTTAGAAACAGACACCTTATCAATTTCTGTATTTGCGTAAAGTTATGTCATTAAAAAAAAGTAAAATACAATTTAAAATGATAATTTTCATTATATATTAATAAGATCAAGCGAGGAAAACAATTTTTTTTAAACGCATAAACTTATAAAACTCTTGACGGTATAAAAATGTGTTTTTGCATATTAAAGATTCTCCTGTCAGTGTTGCATACGTAGTACCTCATTTTAAGATTATGACACGTAACAAAAACGCGTGGTACATACGAGGTCCGTAAGTAGAATAGCCGGACCGGTGCGGCGGCGACGGCGGCACGGCGTCTAACCAGGAACGGACAGTTTCTACTGCGAGGCGCGCGCTTTCTCGATGCGGACCAATTTACTCTTTAAATTGGTCGCGACCATTTAGCTTAACCACCTTTCATCAATCAGTTTAAAGTCGAAATGAACGCGACGCTGCGCATAACGAGCGTATTTCTCAGAAAAAATAAAGAAAGGAGACTTAAAGACGTTTCATTAAGGTCTCTCTTGCAATCGAAACGTAACACATCCTTCACCGATTTTTTTATTCCGTTCCGATCGCCCTCCTTTCCCTCTGTTTCACGAGCCGAAATGCTCCGCGCCGCGTCTGTTCCCGGTGCGTGGGCGCATCGGAAAGGCTTTCAAGTCGGCGGAGGCGAAATCATAAATAATAATCGCGGAGGGATTATCAGCGGTTGCACGCGCGTGTACTGCGGCCCCGTACGAAACGTTGTCGACAAATTAATTCTGCCAGGGCCGCGGGAAAGCACCACGAAACGCGGATCATTCGATGAATAATGAACGGTGTCGCCTGTCAGCCCGAATGAAAGTAACATTGAAAACGATTAAGCCAGCAGGGGAACCGATATGCACACTGTATGTATATCGCTTTACCCACCTTTCACCGACTCTTCTCTGTTTCGCATCGCTCTTACTCCAATTTAGTCCTATTAATAGATGAAAATCATCCATCATCAGGTTTCCAATTCTTGTTAAATACTACGAGCAGGATGGACATTTGGAAGGTAAACCTTCCGTTCCTATCAATCTGTAATTACTCAACAAAAGCGGTTTGTCAGTGATTAAAAAATCTCTCTGTTAATGTTTCAATTTCTCATTTTCAATCGGGGCTATAATTAGCCGACGTCCCCGGATATTAACAACAGGGTTCCGTGATTTTCTGTTATCGGCGCTTTCGATCGGATAACGGCGGGACGCGTAGATTCTCGCGCGTCATCGGGGTAATTACAATATTACGGGTCGTCGAAGCAATTACAACGATGACAAGACCGCTCCCCGGTTCCGAGGATCGCGCGGCAATATTTTTGTGTCGCGGCCCGCATGAATTTAGGCGTCGCGCACTTTATCTCCAGTACAAGGCGGTGCTTAAAGCGGCGCGCGTCGTAATTAAATGCCGGCACCTCCTGGCCCCCTTATCGGCACCAACGATCGTGCCTCATACCGGGACCGGTGCAACGAGGAAGGACACGGATCGACGAGCATTTCTTTCCTCCTCTTCTTGTTCTTCCTGCCTCGAGTACATCGGGACAAGTCGGATCAAGATCGGCCGAAATCCGTTGCCAGTGCTTTCTCGTAATGCTAATGAGCAGGCTCTTACATTTACAAAAAACTGAACTGCACTCGATGTACGAGATGTCAAATAAAGAAAACGCGAATAATAATAGATATTATGCGCTCGGTTCAACGATTTCCTGCATTAAAATACGCGTGACGCGAGAGTATGCGTACTACGCGATTCAACGTTTAAATGATAAAGTATAGGGTTATCATTTTCGAGACTGTAAGCCGGATTTCACAGCGACAATCGCCGAAACTTTTGAGGAAGAGGATCGCGGGACTCTTACACGGCTCCTCCAAAAGGTCATAACTTACATCTGAAAGCTTTCACGGTTGATAACCGAACCTTAAAACGAAATCCGAAAGCAGAGAGGGTTTCACGATTAATCAGAGACAACGGCGAAGCACGAGTCGCGAGTTAATTGCGCAAAGAAGATTATCGCGCGACGTGTAATCGCGAAAAAAATAGCGGGTACGGCCGAAGGCGAGGCGCATGAAATGACTCGTTAACCGTCGAATTTGAATATCTACTCGTTCTCTCGTTCTCTGACCACACCGTTTTTTCTCGCGCCGATCAAAAAGGAGGAGATGTTGCGTCACGAGAAAAAGAAACGACCGACGATTGAAATCTTCCCCGAGCCTGACAACCCGGCCAGGGACGGCGACCCGTTCGGGTAACAAGTGGTGAACGGTTTTACGCGCGCCGCAGGGACGAATTTTCGGTGAGAGATTTTCAGATACCGCGCATCCTCGAAATCTTGCGAATTAATGATCCTCGTTATTAATTTGCGAGTCGATCAGAAAATTTTGATACGAACCAACGATTTTCATAAAACGAATGAATATTAATGGCAAGCTGTGAACCATCGTGCGTTAAACAGTTTCATTGGCAATTCAAATTCGACGTGCAAAGATCGCGACACTATATCTTCTCGGGTAAGAAAAAAAAAAGGTGCTAAAAAGACGTTTGCAATTTCGAATGACGCTTTTGACGTGCGTGCATTGCGGCCCTGATGTCGCACTTATGGTTACACGTAGGTGAATGTCGGGAGAGAAATCATACCGACAAGGACGACAACGAGCGAGAAAGAAAGGCGTAGGGTGCAAGAGTGAAAGAAGGAGAGAGGGGAAGCGAGACAAACCACGCCCGGCTCATCCCGACTTTCTAGAAACCGAAAACTGGATCGTGACCGTTTCGACGTGTTGCGGTGCGCGCTCGTGCACACGTCCACGTGTGTGCGGATCCTGATCTCGAACGTCAAGTCAAGCTTGATTCACGTAACAGATGTCAGTCTTTAAGGTTCGTGCGCCCCGCATCTCCTTCCTTCTTATTTCGCTTGCCGTTCCACGGAACCAGCTACCGTTTCCCTGAGGACATTACTCACGAAGTCGCTCGAGAGAAACTCCACCTTTAGGGAGATAAAGCGGTGCCGGGGTTCGCTCGAGGGAAACGAAATTCCAAGAAGACTCGCGATTGAATTACCGGAAATCAGCGGGCGAAGTTCTCTCGAGGCTCGCAAAATAATCGTTCCCTCGACCCTCGGTGCGAAATTTTTACCGATAACGCGATAAGGAGGAGACAAATCCTTTGGACGAATACCAAATTGACTAACGATCTGATTAGCGAGTTTCTCTACGGCCGCGAATGTCGTCCAGGAGCGAGGGAAAGTACGATATGTAAATCGAACCTAATCAACGACATCTAGACGGATGACACGGCTCTGTGTCTACCCGCTCTCCCTACGATACCCGGAGAAAGAAAGCAGCAGTGCTTTTATTGTTGGAGTTCGGTATTCATCGGCTTTCTCGCTGTCCATCAATAACGGGCGTACTAATGGCTACGGTGTTATTAAAGACGCTCCGGGAGTACCGTTTTCCTGGCGCGCCGCGAAGAATCCGTGTTTGGTTTTTACACGCAACCACGGGTTAACGACTCGCGGACGAAACCGTTCGGCCGTTCTGGATCATCGGGCAACGGAAAAACGGTGTACGCATCGCGAAGTCCTCGGTACACTTTCGATTCCAGCCGAAGCACTTCGCATTCTCCGCTCTCGTAATTAACGCTTTTCACTATTGTCGCTCGCGAGCTTTTTTGTCCGTACTCCTTTTACGCCGGAACGGGGTTCTTGCACTGTCGCCGCATACTCCACCTTCTCTTCCCTCCTTCTCGGTTTGCTTCCCGTCACTGATCCCGTCGCCAATGGATTTCTCTTTCGTTGAAACTAGACGACCAGCTGAGGGATTAGCCTCTTCGGTAACTGGATCGGTGACTGCCTCGTGAAACGGCACCGTTGTCTGTGAAAGGATTCTTCGATTTCTCGGATTAGACGGGGGCTTCCTTTATCGAGAATCGCTTCGGTTCCCGTAAAGAAAGCGAAACGTTAATTCGGCGGAATGGGAAGCGCCCGCGCCGCGAGCGTCCCGCTTCGGCGCAACCTCATGCGCCACCGCACCAGAGACTTGGTGATTTCAATACTGGATAAAGAGGGTGCTAGGGACACGCGCTGTTTCATATAATCTTTAATTATGTATTGTTTTTATTTATATCGATCAAGTTAGACAGTTCTTGAAATGTAATCAATCTAATGATGAAATGTATCAATTTAATGAAGTCGCCAAGATTATTCTGTCTTAGATAACGTTTCTTGTTCCAATCCTTTATTCTCGTATTCACAGTTCCGTTAAGTAGAACTTAAACGTGTAAATAGTTTTTATTTTTCGAAAATGATAGACATTGTACTGTTATTGTTCAGCGATGGAATGGCGTATGTTCGGCATGTGGGGTCGGATGGTAATGCGTTTATTATTAATATATTCGAGTATGACGTCAATAAATAAAAATGCGAGCAGTCTAGAGATCATTTTGTAGCTCTTGGCCAAAAGAATTATCATCAGTCACACCAAGGTTGGCCTTCGTAATCTATCGAATACAATTTTATACTTCGTTGCCCACGTCTCGCATTAATGTATGCGAATAATTTGAAATAAGAATTAAGACTAAGATGAGAATAACCTGCATACGGCATAATTCCGTCCATCTCATATATTTAATATTATGCAAATCTTGGTTCTAAAAAATTGATAGCAACTTTTAATTCTAATTGAATAAATTATTGAAAAAATTGTATGCTTCATAATATTGTTTGTTCATTTCAGATCATCCCGGACGACGAGAAGGAGCAAGGCCGAGGGTGACAGAAGCGGTGTGATGAACGGATATCTCGGTAACATCACCCTGCCCCCAACGTTGTTGCACGACCCGAAGTACCCCCCAGCCATGCGGGAGAAGGACTCGAGCCCAAGAAAAATGCCGGGCCACATAAGCCCAAAACAGGCGAGTATCTATCCGCTTAGCGTTCGCGTGCCGGACGTCGAGGAGTTGCCGTATGACTTGAGCCACGGCCACGGTCGGGGTTTATCGAGTCCCACGAACCAACAGCAACACCAGCAACAGCCGCATATGAGTCCCGCGGCCCGGCCGCCTCAGACTCATCATCAGGAGGACCTCGACTGCGAGCCGCTGGACCTTCGCGTCGATCACAAGAAGGAGAGATTCACAGATGAGAATCAGAACGAAATCGAAGTGTTGAATCAGAACAGCCTCGGTGGAAGTCTCCCGTACCACACAGTCCTGTTTCCTCAGCATCATGCGGTTCATCCTTTAGTTCTAGAAGCTATGTACCGGTCGCACCATCATAGTTCGCCGGTGCCCGAACTGCCCAAGATCCAAGTCCGAGCCCTGCCAACGATGGTACCCTTGCCACCTAACAGATTCTCCTCGACCACTTCCTCGGCATCGTCTCCTTCGTCGCAAGCAGTGACGAGAGTCCCGAGTCCCTCCGCCGGTCAGCAACACCAGCAGCAACAACAAAGTCACTCGAGTCAGCAGCAACAGCAACAACCCTCCTCTCTCCCACCCTACTCCATCAGCGTGCAAGCTGGTCTCAAGCCCAAGGACAGATACTCGTGCAAATTCTGCGGTAAAGTGTTCCCCAGATCGGCCAACCTGACGCGGCACTTAAGAACGCACACGGGCGAGCAGCCGTACAAGTGCAAGTACTGCGAGAGATCGTTCAGCATCTCTAGTAATCTTCAGCGCCATGTAAGGAACATTCACAACAAGGAGAAACCGTTCAAGTGTCCGCTGTGCGAGCGGTGTTTCGGCCAGCAGACGAACCTGGACAGACACTTGAAAAAACACGACGCCGATGGACCGACGATATTGGACGAGGTCAGGTCCAGGTACCACGGCCAATTGCCCAGGGCGGACGATTCTTATTTCGAAGAGATCCGTAGCTTCATGGGCAAGATCACATCACAGAGGCAGGGCATACCTTACTTCCCGGGGTTGCTGGGTCACGGCGGGGATGATTTCAGAAACGACAAGCAACAGCTTCAGCTAGAGGAGAAGAGAGGCGACTCATCGTACTTCAGTGACAGGGATAATCTCAGCTCGAGGTCGAGCAGCACCACTAGCAGACCCGAAAGCGAGCACGAGGAGCAGAGAGAAGCAAATTCACCGCCGATCTCCCCTGCGAATAACACTTGAGCCGAGGGACCAGATTAAACACCGAGATTTTTGCGAGGACTTTCGCGTCGCAACTATAGTGGTCAAGTTTTCTAAGGACGAAGTGAATTATTTTTATAGGAACGACTTCTAATTTTACATTCCCCGATTTTTATACCTTACTGGAAGTGTTCAACTTGTATCGAGGTGCCTTAACGATTACATAAGTGCCTAAAATGTTCGAGCTTGCTCGACCGAGCAGATAAAATTAGTTTTTAAGTAATTATAGTTTAGTATCTTAGATGTCAGAGCAAAGAGTTCCAGCAATTGATCGACAAAGAAACGACAGGAGAGAAAGATACAAAATTTCTTGAAAATGAATCCTAATTATTCTTCTGTCGTACTTTGTAGACCGATTTTATCGAATGTTCGTGATATAGGAAAACGCGCAGGCTGTCAATCGAAACGACCAATTGTACAAAAGTAAAAAATCGAAATTATTTATTTTCTGATCTATCTGTAAAACGTAACGTGCCGGATTTTACGAGCTAGAAAGCGAATTTCAGCCACTCTAGTCTGGACCATGGTACCGAGTGCCGTCCAGCAGCGAGCGAACAATAAAATTAGAAACCGATGGGCGGATCTGTGCCATTGTCAATCATCCGAAAATGAAAATCGTCCTCAGCCGGAAGGAACGATACGAGCCATTAAGTTTGCTTCGGTTAAGGAAGTATCCCAGCCCGGAACCGTTCTTACAAAGCAGAAAGTCATTAGCCCTGCAAAAAATCGAATTATCTTCTCGTAAAGATTTTTATCAGTTTCTGGTTTTCAAGATTCAATTTGTCAACGGTACAAGTCCGTTCTCCCGAGGGATAACCGCTGGGTGTTCACAGAAAAACGCGTGGAGGATGAAATTTGACGAAGATAAATAATACTGAAACGTGGGAAAGCACGCAGAATCTACTGACACGGAAAACCGGCTTCCTGTTGCCGATGATTAGCAAGAGAGGCTCGATGCGGCTAGATAGATCCCACACGATCCAGTCCCTCTCGCTTCCTGCGGATGGTCGCTGAAAATTGTACCCGGGGCGAAAACGATCTAATCGCCTGGCTTCCGCTCGTGACTGCGCTACGAATTCGTTTGCCACTTTCTAATCGCCACTCGTAATGGGAGGCGCGTCGACCTTGGTGGCAAGCGGCCCGCTTCGATTAATTGTACACTGATCGCGAATTACGCGAAAATTGGCATCGGACGGTTGCGCGACCGACTCGTAATCAACGTAGAACTTTTTTTCGAATAGCGGTTGAATGAAATTCACCGGGTTCCATTGAGCAATATCCAGCGTCAGAGTAAAGAGAGAATTGAATAGGCAGTGGTACCAAAGATTGTAGAGAGCGTAAAATTGAAATCAATAATGGAACGAGTGTAAGAGATGTGAGTTAATTAGGAGACGCGAGTAGGTTGAAAAGCGAGAGGGAGCGTATCGTGGCGATCGAATCGGTGCGACACTGGGTGCCAATTTATCGGTACTTTCTACTATGTACATTCACTGCAAGTAGCGCAGGTGCAGCGAGCCGCGCGGGCACGAGATCCTCTTGACCTTGGTAAACGCGATCGGAACGGCGACGCGACGAGCCCGAAAGAGGAAAGGCTGCGGACGTCTTCTTTCCCAAGGAGGCTGCGAAGCGATGCTCGCTGCAAGAAACGCGGGTCCACGAGATCTGGGTGGCGACGCGTGAGAAACGATTCGCGCTTTCTAGGCTGGAATGCTGACCGATCTTCTAAATTGTAGATGCCTTCGGGTAGATGAAACGCGAACATCTGCGACCTTGATAACCAGCTGATAAGATCGAGTTGCGCCATTCAATATTGGCTCTCTTGCGACCTTGACAGGACTCGGTTTGCTTGTCTCAAATCCTTTTTGATTATTTTGCAATACGCTTTGGAAAGACTTAAGCATAAATTGTCGAAGATTCTTTAAAAGTTGTAAATGATTCATAAAATCCATTTAAGAGAACGAGCCGATTTCGTAAGGATGCAGCACGGTTACTTCGGTGTGACTAAGCTTCCACGGTAGATATCTGTTTGCAAAGCCTCGAGAGAGGATGGCAGGCCCTGTTTTTCTTGCCTCACGCATATACGATCCGATGGCCTCGGACCTCTCTTGCGTTACACTTTTGCCACGCCCCGATCGGACGGGCAAGCTCATCGCGAAAGTGAAACGCAATAAAGGAGCCACGCCGTGCCCGAGAGAGCCTCTCGACAACCATGAAACGCTAACGGAGCGTGTACACGCCCGGGAGAACGGAGAGAGAGAGAACGAGATACCCGATCGATCGAAACCTCGAGGCTTGGAAATCGGTTACCTCGCGGCCTCCCACAGTCACGAATCCAGCTTATGCGCTTCGCCCAAAATTATCGACTCGATTTGTCGAAATTGCTTTTACCCGTGCAGTTTGTTTTAAAGTGAGTCTGAGACACTAACAAGCGCGAGGGTCGGTCCAATCTTCGTCCTCGGAATTAATACAGCTGATGAAACTTCTTTTTTATCATTATTAAATTCCGTGATACTTCAAAGGTTACTTCGCTTCGGAGAAAAACCGTGTCCTGTTATCTTACCGGGATCACCGGTTTCCACGGTGGGCAATCAACGCCGACCAGTTCGGGCAGAAGAGAAGAAGCCGCGAAATTTCTCGGCGACGAGTCTATCCGCGAAATCGCTACGCGTTCTCACGTCCGCGCGTTTTTCGATTTCGATCTCCGGTCTCTTTCGGTTCCAGTTTTACACGCGCGATGATTTCACTGGACGGGTCGGTCCGATACGAATTACGACAGCCTGTTGTTACGAGAGGCGGTCGAAAAAAAAAGAAACACCGGTGTAAAAGACGCTTTAGAAACCGTGCTAGAAATTCTCCATCGTGGTGTTCAGACTATAATAGGTTACCTTCTCCGACCATCGGCCGGTTATCATTGTAAATAAGCATGTGTTCAGGATCACATTAGCGGATTACGATATAATAATTACACCGTTGGACGTTCACGCGATTGCACGAGATCATTGTACAAAATAACTTCCTACACACTTTTTGATTGAATTATAAAGGTTCGTGTGAGCATCCGCGGTCTAATATCTGTACTTGTACCTATAGCTGCTAGAATTCGAAACGAGGCTCAATTTTAGTTAGAAATCGTCGAGAGGTGTTAGTTTCCCGCGCGTCGACGAATTTCTAAAAATCTTCCGATTAGTACTCGCAGTTGTATAATTGATTATAGAACTCGTCGACGGGCGCACAGCTGATGGCAGCTAATCCCGCTAAACCCGTGTGCAATTAGGATCAGAAATTGAAGAGCGGAAGAAAGGGATCGAATAAATCTTCGATTTAAACGGGGAGGGGTGCGCGCGTTCCACCCTGATAGTCAGCGCGCGAGTTTTACCGGCGCGGAAAGAGTACCGTTTTTAATTTTGATACATAGCTTATACGTTACACATAAACATAGAGATCTATATACGAAATATAATATATAATATGTGCGTGCGTGTGTTGCGAAAATCGTACGACGATTGTGATTTCATCGAGGTTACCGAGTTTACACGTATTTACCGTTTAGCGACGAACTGCTATCACGCGCTCGTTACCTTCTTACAACCGCTAGCTCGTAAGTGTGCGCAAGCTCAGTTCTCTACTACCTTTTTCTTTTCTTTCATTCAGTTACATAGTCAAATTTGAGGGATGGAATTTGAAGCGAATCATCGCCTCGAGATCAGCATACTTCTCTCAATCTTTTAGATCATCGCGCGATTCCTTTCCTTTTCTCGTTAGCGCTAACGATCTCGTTGCGACAATATCGCCTGGTCGAACCATTTCCGTTCGCCGATCCTACTTTTTACTGTTTAGCTCCGTAGTCACGCGTCCTGTAGAGTTTGTAGTGGTGACTGTATATATGTTCATATGTAATTTTTAAAAATATATATATATATGGATGTACACACACACACACACAGTTGCAGAGAAAAACGAATGTAAAGAAACTCTCGTCGTACTTGCGTTTACTTTCTCCGCTCTCTCACCGCGTTCCTGCCGCGTACACCTTCTCCAAACCTTTCATTAAACTGCCCATTTTTGCGACCCTACGGTGCCTGTTTTTCGATGATCGGGCGTACATTTATTAAATGAAAGTTCTCTAGATTCCGCGAATATGAACCACGCGGCTAGCGTACAAATTGAAATTAGCTATTCGTATTCTTTTCTTGCTCGAAACTCGTTTACTAGTGAATTCGGTTATTATTTTTTTTGGACTACGCTCGCATTTCCAGAAAATCAACGTTCCTTGCAATTAACGTGAGGAATGGTAAGCTGTTGAGGGTCATAGGTGTGTGAGAACCGGAACACACGGTAGACAAGACGTGACCGCGTGGACAAACGGCAAGATTCTTCCAGGACGAGTCCGAACCGTCTTTTTACCCCTCGATCATAAATTTACCGGAAGACATGCGCATTATACTTGATTGTAATTTTATTGAGCCGAGTATTTTTTGCCAATTGTAATGGACTCAGAATAGAAGCTATAAACATTCCTGCTTTTTGCGGTCGCGAATGCAAATACAACTGAGCGCACATTAACAACACGTGTCATCTTTGATTATTGAAATTTTTACGACCAATAAAAAGTATTCGATTTATTTCGATGTCAATATAATGAAACATCGTTACGATTTCCGTTTGCGGAATGATACCGATCCATAAATAAAGTCTCACTCATCATCGGCCAAACTTGGCCTGGAGGCGATGGTATATACCGAACGAGAGAGACTAGGCCGTCGCGAGCTAAGTAGCTTCTCGGCCTCGACGAGGACATGACTTTGACCCAAATATCCGTACGGCAACGAATTCCAATTGTTTTAATCCAAAGACCTTTTCTTGGACAGGAGAAGGGGATGAAAGGAAGTCTTGCGAATACGCATGTGAAAGAGCTAGGTATATTTAGCTCGTTTGATGAAAAGTCCTGTGATCATGACGACAAGCGTAACCTTGGACGATAAAGATGATTCGTCACGTGTAACCTCAGAGATACGATGAATCACCATCATCTTCTCCGGAATTGACAACAACGTATTATCCACTTAAGGAACTTGAAAAAAAGAGTGGACGCGCGAATCAATTAAGCCGTTTTGTCGTATATAAATTTATTTACAGCTGTTTTCCTTTTTTTTTAAATAGACACGCGTATACGAAAGTAAAAAATTTTAACAAGCGTAAACAGGTATAGTATTTAAAATACTGATCAATTTATTTCCACGGGATTGATTCTAGCAACCACTTTTGATTGATGGTTTTCGTACACGCTGCTATCACAGGACTTTCGTCATCTTTCGATTGCAGGCACATTCCGGTGGACGTATGTAAAAGTATTTTCGTCTGAAACAGAAAAATTGGATATTTTCATTTGGAACAGAAATGAATCCATGAAACGATTTCTAATTCATAACAGAATTGCAAAGCTTACTTGTTCGTCGTATTGCCATTTTTGTCTATTGTGACCGCTGCAAGCCATTATTTTAACCTTTGGTGTCTTGTGCTGAGTATCGTTTTCAGGCGCGTCTAAGCATACGCTCTCGTCAGTCATTATAATCCCGTCCCTTGTCATTACGAACATTTGACTAAGCAATGGTCTTAAAGCACACGATTCTAAAATCGCGTACCCTGAAGGCTGTGAATATGTTCCTTTCGCGGTTGGTCGCATAAGGCACTTGTTAGATGAGACATGCACGATCTAACGTATAAACATTAGTAAGATTAATTTAAGTCCAAAGCGTTATGCAATCACAATTTTAAATTCGTGTTTACTTTTCCGAAGAACCTATCACTTTTTGGAAAGAAGTGTTCGGGCCACACATTATCCAGATACCACTCGAAGCTCTTGCATTGTAGTTTTTTACGTAATTCCAATCTAGATCGAACTGGTTGCTTATCCCTTAATCTGGCAGCCTCTGAGAACCAATGTAAACGCCAGAACGTACAATATTTTTAATTCATTAAATTCCGTTTTCGACTGTAGTTCGATTACCTGCGTTAAATTTGAAATAAAATTCCGCCCACTCGTCCATCCAGACGAGAGCCACTCTAGCAAGGTTCCCATACAAAATTTCTCCAACGCCACCCGGGAAAGTGTACGGCGAAGATTTCCGAAAGAGATGGCCTACGTGAGAGCACGGGGCGATTTCGACGCTGCCGCCGCATTGCCACACTCGAAACGACATCTCCAAATTTTCCCCACCCCAAATTTTCATTTGATCATCGTAACTGCCGAGCTCGAAGAAGTACTCTCGATTCATAGAAAATAAACCTCCGGCCATGGCAGGTGATTTAAACGGTTCCACGATGTTCTCGCGTCTTTCCTTTAACAATCGCCCGTTTAGCGTTAGCCAACGGAAATGCAAATCCCAGTTGAACGCTCCCCAATGCAGCTCGAAGGACCTGTAATGTTATATTATTAAATATTTTCACCGAAATTACATTGTAAATTATAATGATTTTCCCTCACCGAGTATAACTAAAAGTGTCATCGTTTATTATATCAATAACAGGCGATACTACTCTGGTTCTATTCTTGGATACGGCTTCAAGCAATGGTTCCAACCACCCTAGAACACATCAATATGATATTAAATATAACTCCTTTTTATTTAGTAAAAGGATAATTATAAAAATATTTTTTTATAAGAGCTTACCTACCAACCGTGCATTCGCAGTGTGCGTCGAGGAACGTGAGAACTTCACCTTTGGCTTCGTTAGCACCTAAAAGTCTCGCATTAACGAGACCGACGCGCTTTCCGGAACGGAGAACTTTAGTGGAAACATTTAAATTCTTTACATGTTCGTCCAGCGCATTCTTCAAGAAACCTGATGATCAAAGAAATTAATATCACGAATGTATTAAAAATTTGAATTGTAGAATGTTTAATAATTTTTTTACCTCTGTCGCTATTGTCGTCGACGAGAATTATTTCTTTTAATAAATGTCTCGGTGATCTGTTAATTACACTGTACACGGTTCTGAGCAGCGTACTCCAAGCTTCGTTATGGAACACGATAATCACGGACGTCGCCGGCAAGTTACCCAAAGCCGAGTACCTCTTTATACATCTACGATCGATGCGTTGCTTACTGTCAGTATTTTACCGATTACGAAAACGAGAAACAGTGACAATTACCCTTTTCTTCTAACATCCGGTAGAGATCGATTTAACGGAATTCTGTCGCTAGCCATCAAATTAAATCGATTTATTTGGAAGAGTTGCTGCATTTTGTAAAAGTCTTTCGCAGGGACGAGTACCGGATTACCATTTCTACCTTCAAATGGTAGTGGGTTGAACATGTTCTTGTTGATCAGATCTGAAAACGTATGTGCAATTCGTATTTTGACAAAGTTCTATATTTATTTCATAATACGCACCTTTCGTAATGTTTGGCGACTTTAAAGGATCTACGGAATCTCCAATGTAGTGGCCAACTACTACGTGCACTCCTTTACGATCTATGTAATCCCTTTGATTGTCTAGAAGCCTGGGAATATAAGATCGAGGATCGAGGAATGCAACAGGTGATACCAGTATTTCGCTTCCACTATACGAGTTTTAATTAAACACGTCCGCTCGCACTTACCGGAGCGAAACGTAATCGTTGCGAGAATCCTCGTACTGTTGCCTCTTCCATGGCCAAACGAAATATATTCCCATTAAAAGAACGATGAAAAGAATGATCGACCACGGACGACACGGTCTCCTCAGTCGCGGCCACATCGTGATCCTCGTCGAAGAAAACGCCAAGCTTGACTAATTTTGTAAATAATCCCATTTATCTAAATATGGAGAGCCGCTCATTATTATCAAACCCGGACTTCCGTTATCACACTCTTCTCGTCCCGGGTCATCGTGAGAAAAAGCGCCCGAGTCTACCTTGACCTGGTAATAGTTACGAAATCTTGAACGAGTATCAAGCATTATATATTAATTATTTTCGCGGTGTTTATCGATAAAAAATTTTCCGCCTTAATTAATTATTATATATATTGTATATTGATTCCGTAAAATTTACCTCGTTCGATTAGAACTGCATCACGCTTAGTTACCGGTGAAGCACGCGAACGTTTTGGAGCGATTCCAGGTAATCCTTCACAATGAAAAATCAATTTTCTCTTTATTACCTCACGATAAAAATCGTTATAATTCTTGATAAAAAAAAATATTGTTTCACTGAGAACTTAATACTTGGTAATTTACTGTCTAAGATTCTATTAAATTAACGACGATTCACGGGTATTACAACGTTCGTACTTTCACAGACTTGACGGACTCGACTGGAGAAGTGGCGAATGAGTTCCAAGGAGTCGGGACGCTATGAATAAAGCAGTGCTGTATCAAACACACTCGCAACCCGTTTCTTTAAATTAAATATGTTTAAGTACGTGTTTGCCGGAGAAAAGGACTTGCACTGATGAAAATTATTAACAAGCATCAGTATGCGATTGAAATAAAATATTTTTTAAATGCGATTCGTTCCACGTTCTTCATCATGCAGAAACGATTTTATTTTCAATTAGCTTCTCGTACATTTCAAAATTCTTGATCTGAAGCCAAACCATTGTACGCAGTTTACATAAAGATAAACAATCCTCGGAAAGCTGAAAGAGAAATAAACTAAAGCGAGGTCTAATTTGAAGACAAGCAACAGCTAGCTTAAGAATTATAAAACATAGTAGCTATAAGAGAGTAATCTGAAAATTTGTATAATTGAATTACCACAATAAATTGAAATTATAGTAAAATGTTGCTATAAGTTTTTAAAGAAACAATTTATAATATTTTCAAAAGTGGCTCGTGTAAGGATTGAAGCATTTGTCTTAAGACAGATCTCTTCAGCTTACGACTACATTACGGAATAGAATTACGTTATTATTATCAGGGTACTTATATACAATCGCAGAGATCCGAGTAGGAGGAATGCTGTTTCTACTTCTCTCAGTAGCCGATTAAATGGAACGGATCATCTGAGCGAGTGCAGATGATAGTATCATGAACAGGAAAAGTATTGTCAAGTCCATTCGCTTTTAAAGATTTCATCTCTCGTACATTAACACATGTGCAATCTTATGTTCAGTTTAATTATAATTGAATACATATTTGTTTATATCATACATAATATCATACGTTATAATATCATACATAAAATCTGATACTTATAAAGCTGTCTATAACTTTGAAAAAATTGAAGAATGTTTTGAAGAAAAGCTAATATAGGAAAATACGTCAATATAAATTTAATAGAAGGATCAAGAGGATTATATTAGATCATCAGCTACTGCCGCAGAGTTGCAGCCGCAATCAATGACTGCTGACCACATTGACCAGTTGTGATTGCTGCCTGCTGCTACCAGTTCACCAGGCTGCCCGGCCAGCGCCGGCGCTGTTTCTCTTTTATATCTTAAAGGAGTAATAGGGGCGGGAAAGATATGAAATTAGCTTCTATAAACTCTTAGATCGGATATACACGCAATCTTTTCCTACGTCTTATTTTATATTCTTAGAACTTATTTAGCAACAATACGAATGAAAAAAAGTGGCGACGATCGAAGAAATTACATGTGTTAGACGCTAGATAACGAGTGGACAAAATTTTTGCAGCTGTTCTCAGTATATGTGGTAGTATTTAAATTGACAAAAATGCTGAAGAGGTCAGCACTTGCCAGTGTACGGTGTATGTATGTACGGTTCGCCACGTTGGAAGAAGTTGGTGGGTGCCTACTGCTTGTTTGACGTTAGGTTCCAATTCTATAAGAATTCTGGTTAATTCGATATAATTAAGGTGAGAAATTGTTGCCTAAGTGAATCATGCATTTCATATTTCGCATGCAACGAATTGTGTAATGTGCATATGTCACACGTGATAAAATTCAGTAACAGTAGGTCGGTGAACCTTCGTATATGCCACTGTATGTCATAGATTTATATACAATATTATCATTAGCATAAATTATTTTTTCATTATAATGTGTACTTGAATCCAATACTGATATGGTAATTTGGGTATGCTCAAATACATCTGTTAAAGGCACAATGTTCAACATATTTTTGTACTGTGATTAATGATACCTCATTAGTCTCTACTTACAAAAAATAGTAGAAAGACATGTATAAAATATAATAAGTGTGATAGAATTGAATCTTGTTTCTCCATCTTTCCATGCTAACATAATGATGTAATATCTCAGACAACTCAAGATGAAGATAAAAGAATTGCTCAAAACCGTGAATGTGGCATGGTCACCACCAGCTCAACATCCTATATTATTGGGTGCTGGGACTGCAGCCCAACAACTTGATGCAAGTTTCAATACATCTGCCACTTTGGATTTATATTCATTGAATTTGCAACAGCCAGGATTAGATTTGGAATTAAAAGCCAGTGTAGCAAGTGATCATAGGTTGGACATGAATCTGCATTTCTGCATTAAAATAAATGTCACGAATAAAAATATAACACGTCAATTTTAGGTTCCATAAAATAATCTGGGGTTCATATGGTAACAATCCAGCTGGCATAATTGTTGGTGGCTGTGATTATGGGATGATAAAGATTTATTCGGCTGCTAAAATGTTAGCCAATGATAGCAATCATTTAATAAGCAGTCCAGACAGGCATACAGGCCCGGTCAGAGCACTCGATTTCAATCCTTTCCAAGCAAATTTACTGGCAACTGGTGCGACAGAAAGTGAAATTTACATATGGGACATTGTCAATACAAATACACCAATGACTCCTGGATCCAGGAGTCAACCATTGGAGGATGTGCAATACATTGCGTGGAACAAACAAGGTATTCTTATAATTCACTAATTGTTAGTACATTTCTCCAACTTCAATCATATTTCTTTTATAGTGCAACATATTCTTGCATCCACATTTTCACAACGATGTGTCATATGGGATTTAAGGAAAAACGAACCCATCATTAAATTAACAGATGCAAATTCAAAGGTAATATTTCTCTCACACGTTCAAGTTTTATTTTAAATATATTGCAACTCATACTTTGTGCAGGTAAGATGGAAAGTGGTTCAATGGCATCCAGATGTTGCTACACAATTGTGTCTGGCATCGGAAGATGATCAGACTCCCATAATCGAGTTATGGGACCTGAGATTCGCAACGTCACCGTTGAAAACGTTCCAAAATCATCAACGTGGTGTTTTATCGATCGCATGGAATCCACACGATCCCGATTTACTTTTAAGTTGTGCCAAAGATAACAGGATACTATGTTGGAATCCTAATTCGGACGCACCAGTATGTATAATCGTAATGTATTTAACGCTCGTAATGACGGACAAATTTTTATAATTAACATTTAACATGATTGTCATACAGAATGGCGAAGTAATTTGCGAGTTAGCGCAAACAAATCAGTGGAATTTCGATGTTTCATGGTGTCCGAGACACCCTGGATTAGTTGTGGGAACTAGTTTTGACGGACACGCAGCAGTTTATTCCTTGTTAGGGGGACAACAACAAATGTCCGTAGAAACGTCGAACAAAATTGTAGATTCGTTCCCGGGTATGGATCCCTTCTCACAACCACCTCCTTCCGTACAAAATGAGCCAGCGGTCATCTTGACAAAAGCTCCAAAATGGTTGAAGCGACCGTTTGGAGCATCCTTCGGCGTACGTTTGCTTTTGGAATACCTAGTTAACATAATTTACGATCTTCTTTGAAAAATGGCCAATTGTTTTTAGTTCGGTGGCAAATTGATAATATTTGATAATGGACCTGTGGATCCTAATTTGCCTCCAAACTCTAATAGAAAAGTGATCATATCGCAAGTAATTACGCAGCCGGAATTAGTTGAACGTTCGAACGAATTGGAGGAGGTTCTTAAAACTGAACAGTATAGTGACTACTGCAGAGGAAAGGCTGAGGCAGCTACTGACTTGCACAAGAAGAAAATATGGAATTGTGTGGGTGCATATTTCGGTGAAAATGTATCGAAGGATATACTTGCTTTGTTGGGATATAATATAGAAGCAATGAACAATAAATTGAATCAGTTCGTTCCTCAAGATGAAGTTAACGCTATAACAGAAGGGGTTGGTAATTTGAATAACGTAAGTTTTGTTTCACATTGCTTAAAAAACTGATTAGAGTGTTGATATAAAACTAAAATACCATTTTTCTAGGTACTTAATGGTAACGTTGTTGATGGAAGCGCAGCGTTTGATGCTATTGCAGAAGAATCTAAAAAGGCAATGGCTGCTCCGAAAAATAAAAGTATTCAAATAAACATATCAGATGGTAATTTTATTGTTATTAAAATTTTAAATGCCGAAGTATTTAAAAATTTATAATTTTATTTCTGAATACTTTGCAGACGAGGATGGGCTTATTACTCAAGCAATCCTCTTAGGAAATATAGAGGCTGCTGTGTCACTATGCTTTGCAAGTAAAAGGTACGCAGACGCAGTCATTCTTTCGATGGCTGCTGGACCTGATTTGTTAGCACGTACCCAGTACCGATACTTTTCAGAACATACAGGTGCTCTCAATTCTCTTATCAGTTCGTTAGTTAGTGAAAACTGGGCTGACGTCGTCCAGAATTCAGATATTAATTGTTGGAAAGAAGTACTAATCGGAATATTTAGGCACTCTGATCCACGAGAGCGATCTACTTTGTGCGGTACGTATCCCATATATAAGTGTTATCATAATTAAAGATATATGTATATTAAAATGAATGTCTTTTACTTTCATAGGAATGCTGGGAGATCGTCTGGCATCATCTGATAATCCAGAACTCAAAGAACAAGCTCAGATATGCTACATTTGTTCCGGTGACTTAAATAAAGTTGTCGAATCGTCGAATGTTGAGATTCAAGAAGTGGTGGAATTAATAGTTTTAATGCAGAAAGCGTTGGAAACGCAAGGAAACAGGAACATACAAATAGAAGGGAAAATTGCTAACGTATTGTATCAGTATGCCGAAATGTTAGCAGCCGAAGGAGATCTCGATTCCGCGTTGAATTATCTCGGAAATAGTCAAGACGAAAGAATCGTAATGTTAAAGGATCGGTTGTGTCGAGCATTAGGTTACATTCAGGAATCGAAACCAATGCCGAAAACTGCGACGATGCAAAATTATTACGATCGGAGAAGATCCGTGCAAGGCGTTCAAAATCCGTTACCCATGACACAAACAACATCTTTTTACGATCCAAACGTTGCTACCGCGAGACAATCCTCCGCTCTACCTCCAAATCAATTCTCTGGCCAGCAGCAACCTCTCGGATTGTCATCTTTGCAGCCGCACGTGCAGCCCATGCAACCTATGCAACCTATGCAATCCATGCCACCCATGCAACCTATTCAATCTATGCAATCCGAACAAACGTTCCAGCCTTATGCTCCACCTGTTTCACAACCACCTCCGCCGCCGCCTCCTACAAGTGCGTCGAGTGCAAGTGGATCCAGACCTTCGAGCGTTGGGCCTCAAGCCTCCAGGTCGAAATACATAATCGATCCGTCTGTGAAATCTACGTCGATGTACGCACAGATTGGTTATTCTCAACAACCGTACAGTAACCAACAACAAAATCCTGTACCCGGCTATTCGACGTCGAATATGTATCAGCCACAAATGCCGACACCTGCGAACACGTATCCTGGACAGAATTTCACATCCACGCCGAAAGAACCGGAACCATTCAAGCCATTCCATCAATTACATCAATTACAAAATCCATTGCAGAGTCAAATGTACGAACCAATCAGGACGCAACCGATGCCACAGGGTCAAGTGTATGGAACCGAGAATCAACCTCCTATGGATCGCCAGAACACCTATCAGCCAGTGCCACAACCTGCGGGATGGAACGATCCACCAGCTGCAAAATCTAGGATACAAGTAAATATCTTTTTATATCCCTCCCGTGTTAATATATTTTTGTTCGGTTACGCATTGAAGTAGTAGATTAGTTTTCTGGAACAATGTACTTATGATAAATATATGTATATTCAAATAATATAGCCAGTACTGGCATTATGCAACAAAAATGAAATGTCTGCGGATCATGCTGGTACCAGGAAATGGAAAGCAAAATATTCGAAGAATACGAAGGTAGACACCATAAAAAAAGATTGAGTGTTCTTTCTATCGTTTCATAATTATTTCTTTTTTTTTCAAAGTACATTTATTCCCCCTTTTCGTATTCCAAAGATCAATTTTATCTGATCTTGAATAACAATGTCGTGTGATATTAACTAAAACAGATTGCGTGAAACACACACGAGCGTTTCCAACCGCTTCACACAGAAATTGGTCTCGTACGATATCACCAATTTAGGATTCATACGTATCGCTATTTTTGTTGGTAGAACCACTATTACAAATGCATTTGCTTTAAGAGTAATGAGGATTACACTTTTTTTGCAGTCGAAACAAGATCAATACCAACAGCAGAATCCAATTTTGCATCCGCTAAGGGAAGCAGTACCGCAACCTGAACCAAACGTAAGTTCAATTAATATTACTTTGAATCACAATTATTACTTGTTTATATCCTACAGGTCTTGCCGCAAGAGAAATACTATTCGGAGCAACAAGTACCTTACAATCCACAACAGTACAGCCAAAATATTCCTAATATGGCTAGCCAGTTTGCAAGGCCGATGGAATCATTCCAACCGGCCGAGGTTGCCAGAGCAGCAGAACCTGAGAAACCGAAAGCACCAATTCCGGAACAGCACATGCATTTAAAAACAGTATTCGATGAACTTAAAAATCAATGCTTCGAAAGTGCTAAGAATCCGGTAAGTATATTTATAATCTGTAACACCAAAATCAGGGTTATTAAATACGTTTCTTCTTCTCTTCTAGCAAATAAAGCGAAAAATAGATGATGTATCGAAAAAACTCGAAGTTTTGTATGATTGCCTTAGGGAAAATAAGGTAAGGATCTTTGTTCCAATAATGTATACATGGTAGGTCATAAAGAAAATGAAATATATTTTTTTTACAGTTGTCACAAAATACTTTACAAGCATTGCATCAGATATCACAGATGATACAAAGCGGGAACTATACTGGAGGCTTAGATCTCCACACGCAATTGGTGTCAGGTCCAGATTTTAGTCAAATATCTTCATTCATGCCCGGTATTAAAGTATTGCTGTTAAGTGCCCTTCAATTGAACGTTTACATTAGATAGAATGCGATACGTGGAAGTGGTACTGTTTATAGTTATTCATTTTTATAATTTGAAATTTTTATAGCCCTCTAACGTCATTATTAAATGAGATATTTCTGTTGCATTAACTTTCCATACTATCCAGTGCAGTACGAATAATAATTGTCACAGATATTCTTATACAAGTTTTTATATGAACTTCATGATTCAACTGTTACGTAAACAAAATCATCGAGTTTATATATTTCAATTTATCGATAGCTTAACAAAGCCCGATATTACGCATGTCGATACTACATGTAAAAATGTAGAAGAAAATATTCAGTCAGAGAGCATAAAATGTTAATTAAATCGATTTTTAATCATTTTAATGTATATAGGATTATATTAAAGTTGACTTAAGAAAATCGCATGTGTATATTTTCAAATGATAATCGTACTAAAAATTTGTTAATGAAACGATCGGAGTAATTCATTGGATAATTAAACTGTGTAGTATGGCGGCTTTTTCATTGATAATAAATTTTTGTAACAATTCGTCTAACGGATCGATGCCGTCTCGTGCTGCCTGTCGACGCATCGCTTGTTTTACTTCTTCGCGTACTCCTTTATCCGCTCCACGGGTAGCAATACGACGATCTATGATATTTTTATATAGATATGTTATAAATAAATGTACAGATACAGTACGTAAAACATTTAGTACGATGTATACGCACTTTGTAACACTCCCGACCCTGCGGCAATATCTAGAGATACGCCACCTCCATGCTCCGTCCATAAATAAGTTAATTCTTCTAAAATATCCACGCATATAACGTAGGCTTGAAACAGTGGATAAGAAAAAGATCCACGATTGATAATCCTTTCCGTAATCGCGGATAAAGTACTAGCTTCTTGTGGCCAGTCAATTTGCATTAGTACTAACGCGTGTCCTATAGCCAAGTCTCCAACTCCACCGGGTAAAGAAAAATGCTCCTATCAAATCAAATACTATAATCGTAATGATAAAATGGCTAGTCTTACTTATTCTATTACTAGTAATTTCATCTCAGTTACCTTTATCGCTAGAAGAAGTAATCTGCAACAATACTGTATAACGGGGAAACGTGCGAGAGTCAAATAATGTAAATGTCTCGTACACGGCACGATTAAATTATGGGACACTTTGCCGGGAACCGTAGATAGCGCGCCAATTACTAAAACTATATACTCCAACATGCTCTGAAATGATACCAAGCGCTCGGAATAATGTTTGACAGAAAATAGTCTCAAGATAAATATTTATACCTTGTAATCTTTTAAAAGAAAACACGTGCTCGCTAAACGGAGATGAACAGATAAACTACCAGGTTCTTGGGACAATCTTGTTAGTACCTCGTGATGTACACCTTTATACATCGCCAGATCTGTTAAAAAAGAATTCAACAAAGAGTCTAATCGTAGTTGCTGGATCATCTTTCCCGTTTCTCTTTGTAAATATTCGCTACTGTGCAGCAGATCCCATAATTTCACAGCTAGTGCCAAACCATTGCCATTATAATCACCATCGCTCGTTACCACGATTCCAGCGTTATCATCCCTTTTCCGTTTCTTTAATTCCGGTTCTAATTGGGAGAAAGACGATTATATTTATGCGTTATTAGATATTATTATGTTTTACCTGTAGGCGAATGTATGCATTCTCCAAACGCTTCTACCAAGCAGTACACGATTTCATCATTATTGATAAGCGCGTTATGTTCGTGTAATATTCTTAACAGTACGACTATGCTACACATCAGTAATTGTCTTCCGACCACCTCTTCGCACAGATTAGCCGAGTGTGCGATCGCATATTGGTGTAATCTTTCGCAGAACGTGTCTCGATTCCAAGGTAGTGAAAATATGTTACTCAATTCCCATTCTAATTTCTTTCCGATCAGTTCAACAACTTGGAACAGTCTGTCCCAGGGATGTTGAATCTGATTATCTTGCGGTTGTTGCATATATGCCAAGTAAAAGTCAATAGCCTTACAGAGTAATCTCAAGCTAAGTCTAGGATTCAGCTCCACAGGTGCATTACCGAGAAGGGGCAATGCATCGCAGGCCAACAACTTTCTGAAACCATTGACTGCACGTCCTGGATGACTGTGTTTCTCAGCAGTGAGAAGAGTTTCTACCAGACGAGGCTGAACATGCAACGAATTAAAAATTAAAACATCATTTATAAACGTCTATTAAATATGTGTATTAAAGGTACTTGCCCCATGAGTGGAAATAGTCTGAGGAAACCTGTGTAACAAGAGCAGCAATAATTTACAATGTTCCATTGTGTCTTCGCTATGATCAGCTGTCATAACAAGCAGCCTGTGCTGAAGCTCTTGGGGTATGTGTTGGAACATTTGGCAGAGGAACTCTGCCTCCGAATCGCATTGCTCCATGCGAAGGCATGATGTCACTGTTTCTATCTCTTTCCATATGTCACGGTCATCTGGAAAATTCTGAAATCTGCTTTTCGAATAAAGTAAAACTGTTCTTTACTACAATTTGCACTTACATTTCGCTGAAACATTTAGCCGCCTCCTTCACGTTCTTCGATAGCTTCTCGATCCGATATGCTTCGAACTATTAAATGAACAAATTTTTGAATAATTTCATAGAAAATTTTTGTAAAATTATTATCCTTTTCATAAGTATAAAATTAGTAGACGTCAAATAACCACCTGAACTTTAGCACTGTGAGGAAACAAAGATCTGGCAGTAATCAGCCAGGATTTGGCTGCATAAATGTCAATCGGCAACGCTTCTTTTGCGCGCATAATTAAATAATCTTCCTTGGATAATTGGCTGTTATCCACGCCAGAAGTTTTCTCCAACATATTTCTTCAAATTATTTCAATTCCAGACGTGAACGAGATTGCACAGCAAACAGTAGTAAACAGATTTGTGCAGACTTGGTTCTGTCCACGATTTGAAGGAAGGGAACATTGACGATCTACAGATGGCACCACGATGATCATTATGCTCCTTGAATGCTGTATTAGCAGTTATACATGCGGTACAAATACATATAATAGACATATTACTTAACACCTTTTGGATTTTCGTATCTTTCGGTTATCATATCGGAAAGAAAAATTAAGCCTGATTTGAAGCTGGCCCCCAATTTGCGTAACGCCCTTTCAAAATTTATCGATGATCGTGTAGAATAAGAAGGGATGATTTCTGATCTCAAATCCTCATCCCCAGAATTGATCGAGTGAATGAAAATACCCAGACATGTTTCCATTCATTTATTAATCACAATTTACCCATTTTTACAATACATTTCTTACGATTGTTTCGCATTTCTTATTACTTACACATTCGAAACAATCTTGGAAGTAATTTTGTTAAGAAAGGTACGAGTTTATATTTGAAAATTTAATAAGGCGAATGGACAATTGATAGCAATTTTCTGAAAAAAAATTGTGCAGTCAACAGAGCGCGGGGGGCTGGGTGGGGGGAGGGGTATATGATATTGCAAATCCCGTGAGCGATAGACGCTGTCATCTCCTCCGTACGGCCTCGAGTGGGTCCATTTATAAAGATATAACGGGGAGCACTTTGAGGTGGGCAAATCCGCTTTACCCGACGACGCAGATTCTGTTGCAACTTTGGCCAAAGCTTCCTTAAGTGGTAATGGCGTTCCGGCTTTGTATATCTCGTGGCTTTCCGGATTCCGTCGGAGTACTGGAAATAAAGTGCTATCAATGACACCATTTCCGTTTTACGCGACAAAATAACGATCCACGACACCATTCTCGTTTCTAAATATCATTGAACACCATTCTATTTTAATACAAAACGTAAGAATTGTTCGTTGAAGTTTTATAGAGAGAAAAGTGTATATTTGAAAGAATTATTTTGTCTCTTGGTCCATTAGTAGCGCGTACGCATCGCGACTGTCAAAGGGATGCTAAATTCGAATCATTTCGAGCGGAGAACCACGCGGGAACGGCAAGGATATCGTATTCGTCTCCAACTAAATTTTGCGTCTACGAGATGGTTAGGGGATGCACGCTCTGCGGCTGCGTTTGTTACCCTCTGTCTCGGTACCTCTTTCCACCCCTTCAGCCACAATGGCATTAAAATTACCAAGGAAATTCAATTCCCAGTTGGAAATGTATCGCGCACGTGTAGGTCATACGCGTATAGACGTAGGTAAAACGCAGGGCCGTCAAATATCCGGGGCTCCTCTCTCGCTCAGTTTAAGGGTGTATTGGCTATACAGTCAATCCCAAAAGTTTATGCACTTTAGAAACGCATTTTTTAAAAAGA